GCTTCCGAACACCCTTGCTTCGTACTTGAACAAGCAGCGCCATCACCCTATTGTAATATGAAATACGAAGGTATGTCACTGTAACGCTATAAAATGTAAGAACAAACTCAATTAACGTAACAAGTGTAGCTGTCTTCCACCTGACGATTTGAGATAATTGGTTTTTCCAACATGATAAATAAGAAAAAAAATCCCCTATAAACTGTTAAGCATAATGTTAATTTTCCACTTAAACTAAATATTTTTTTCGTCCTTTGAACAGTTTTTCTGTTACGTTTGTTGGCTTTGCAGACCAATAAAAAAACTGCAGGATTACCCTACCACTAGTAAGTCGAATGAAAGCTGCCGACACTAAAATTACATCTAAAACTGAAACTTTACATCTAAAAATAAAATACACCACCTCTTTAAAACTCTTATAATTTGAATACACTTCTGAATCAAATTCAGCATATTGTGACTACACATGTAATGGTAAGCTTTTTGGAAGGGGAGGCAAAGATGGCGCAAAGAGGGCTTCAAGTCAAATTAGGCCAACATCTATCCTCGGTAGTGTGACATGCACATTGCGCAGCTGGGTCATAACGGTCTCCAAATGCAATGAACTTCATCAAACAGCTCCGATTTTCTAAACACAGTAACGACAAATTGATTGCCTATATAAGCACAGGAAATCGAAGGATTTGGCCCCTGAAGTCGTTTGTACTGCACTGTATTCAAGAGATGGTATGTTGGGTTTCGCACCGGTGCCGGACTCCCTTGGATTTCAAACTCTAGACGAGTTGAGCACTTCCTCGAGGCACTGCAAGGCCACTGGGTCGTTCTCGTAGTGGAACTTGTTAGCGAACAGATGAGGCTGACGCCGGACGTACTGTAGATCGCCGACCGTGAGGATGCAGATCTCGCGGACATACTTGCCCCGACATCTGGTGTCGTTGCCCTTCAAGCGCCCAGTATGGAGCCAGTTAACATAACGGGCACGGTATGGCCTGCTGCTTGGTTCTGTGCCGACCCCACCAGGCACGCCCTTGGCCCGTTGCAGGGTGGCCCAGTACGTCTCATCTGCAACGAGCACGTCCTTCA